GGACCTTTAAAGAAAGAGAGTACAATAAAGTTTATAAGGTGAATTTTGCCATCCAAAGCAGAAATGATACCCTTTTCAGTGTATTGAAGGGTGCAGCTCTGTTTCTTCAGTGTGTTCCCTCTAGCATTCAAGGTGCTCGGAATTTTTTTACCATAGACAACCTTAAGGGATTCCTAAGGCCTTTTCCTCATTCTTAGTTTCCTCCCTTGTAAGTCCCTGCTGCTTTGGGGGGATTTTTTTTTCTGTTCTGCACATGTTTTGTTCCCTCTAGTGGTCGATTTGGTATAGCATTGTTTTCTCTTCCACATAAAAATCCGCAGTTGACATCTGCAGGGATATATGTTGGGCATAAACTGATGTAATATGAAATTGATCACTAGAGGGAGCAAAACTTATGAAGAACAGGAAAAGAACCCCCAAATAAACAGGAACTTAAAAGTGAGGAAAACGTGGAGAAGGAGAAACCCTGAATCTGTGTAATTGTATTTGATCCCCTTCTCCAGGAGTCTGCTCTCTGTCATTGTGATGGTGAGAGGGCATCAACAAAAAAATTGTGCTCTTAACAAAGGCTTTATTGAACTACCCTGTTTAGGCCCAGAGGCCCACTGTATGTTCTGTTCCCTTAAAACTCTTCCCCCAGGAACATAGTTCCTGTAAACATAGTTCCACTTATCATGATACATCTATAACTCTAGAGCCAAATGTGGCTCAGTGTGGAATTGAATACAGCTTTATCCCTGCTCTACTCCAAGGTGTCCAGGCAATTTTACTTTTCAGTTTCTTCCAGAATGTGTAATTGCACATGGATGCATATACCTGCCATGGCTGAACCTTCAAATCCTCAAATTTACTTTTCTCCAGCAGTCTTCTTGGTCTGGACAAGTACATGGCATGTAAAGCATGTGCTACAGCATAGACAACATTGTAGATATTGTAGCTCTGACCAGTCATAGCCATCTCAAAATGATTTCCAGGTAAATGCTCCAGTTTTTCTTCTCCTGTACACGTTTCACAGCCAGTACAAGTTGATCCATTGAAACAACACTGGAATACTGATACCCAGAAAAAGCAGAGGAAATGCTCCAGTGTCTTATCAGGTTTTAAGTTCTGGAGAAAGTTCCGGAATTGTGGTACTTCGTCTGTGTGGCTCAAGAAAGACAGTGTGCCCTGGAAAGTTTTTATGCAGAAGCCATGCTCTCTGATTGAGTTGGTGAAATCCCACTGAGGTGACGTGATCCAAACCATTCCTACATAAGACTTAGCCGCAAATTCATAAATGTCTAACACTATCGTTAAAGCAAGCAGAGACTGAAAGTTGCCACTGACAACCGTCACATTGACATCAGCTGATAAAAACTTTTCAGGAAACTTTTTCATGTTTTCAGCATGAGAAGTGAACTTCACATTATTAATTATTTCAATCCTTTCCCAGAAGACAACACAAATATTATTCTGGGTAAGCAAAGGCATCAGGATCTGCAGAAAGCTTTCTCCTCCATCATCTTTTGAAACAATGACACCAATCCATGTCCACCTGAAATGCAGGAGGAGCTGGACAATCCCCATCTGATGAGTACTGACTCTTGGTGCCACATGGTACAAAGAAGTGAGTTCATTTTTACCACTGAACGTAGTTTCATATGCACCATAGGTAAGCTAATAGTGTGGGGGGAAACACAATAAAATGTAATCCTAACCCCAAGCCTGCCAAAATAGACAAGGTGTTACTAGAGGAATTATTTTGCTCTGTGGCATGCTAAAGTCTACATTTCATATATACAAAAGTCAATGGGACACCTAAATTTACATTCAAGTATGCAAAGCTCAGAAGAGCTGACATCTTCAGTTTTTATATTCAAACATTGTCACAGATATGGAAAAGTGAAAAACCATCTTGCCCATCCCTGTACCCAAACAAGGACCAGTTATCATTAGACATCAACTGACCACAATGTCTTCCTTAAAGAAATATTTTATCTATTATAATTCAGAGAAATACAAAACCGGAATCTCTCATGAGAGGCAAGTCAAAGGTTTCCCCTCCCCCAAATATACCATAGTAGGGAATGCAAAATTTATTCTAGACCAATAACTGAATACACAAGGATGCCCATGATACCCACCAAAAGAGCATTATGCTTATTTCATGGTGGTATCCCTTTGACAACTCTTCCTTTCTGATTCCTGTTTCTTACAGCAATAATGACTATGTTTTCCTCTTTGTAGCACAATGAGTATTATGGCTAAAGCATAGAGATGGAAAGAATTAAGATGCAATATATGCACCCACCAAAACGATACACAACTTTGCATGTTCAGTGCACTCCCATGCGAAGCTTTGAACAGCCCAGTGATGTCCATATGTATGGAATACATATTTGTTTAAAAGCTTTACCTCTTGTGCCTTGTGTTGTTGTGTTAATTACTAGGAGATGTGATTCTCAAGAAGGGGAAGAATTTGTTCTTGTTCTGAAATGAATATAGTTTGTTGGCAGGGGGGCTATTGTGTCAGAACATAATTGACCAGAAAGCATACTCCATCCAGACCCAAATATAAATGCACATACCTGTGGAATCTTGTAGATGCTCAAAATGGTGGCCATCTGGATGGAGTTATCGAGAGAGATCCCCCCAATAACAGACAATACGTCTCTACCCCTATTACACTTGTAATTAGGTACATTTCTTTGCTGGGTGAAGAGTAGATCCAGAATAGTTGCATATGTGATTCTTGCATAAAACTGGTCATCATAGATGTGAAAGCCCAGGGTGATATTGGGTAAGAGTCTGGGGTTCTTATTGATCTCATCAATGGCGAAGATAAAGGTGAGGCCATGCTGGTAATTCTTATACACCACCCTGCAATAATATTGACATTGATATGGAAACGTCTGTTAGTGATAATGGGTGGGGTCCAGCCAGCATTTTTTTTTTTGCTAACTCTTGCCCAGTTCTCCTTCTTGCTCCTCACATGGGTTTTGTCCACCCCAGCATAACATTTTTGGGTGTTGATCCCCTCCTTCCTATTCCACTCTATATCATGGAGGCCAGGCACACTGAACATTGCTGCCTTCCTATCATTGGAAGGAAAGGAAGCCTTCTACACTGATCCCCTTGCAACCTACCTTGCCTTCCTTCCAGCAGGTACAATCAATTACTTTATCTTGCTGACCAACCATGTGCAAAGCCCCAGATAATCAGGAACTATCAAAAAATGTACATGTAAAGGCTGTTTTGTGACTTTTTTTTTGCAACGTTCATAGCACTGTAACATCAAACGATGAACAGGTAACATAAATCCTGTAATGTCTTGTAATAGTTTCATTACTTATTCATAGGATAACTGCACCATAGCATGTCAAGAAAAAAGAACACATGCAGTATGATCTTCATCACTGAACAGTGCAATATGCTACAATATTTATTAATGTATTGGTTGATAAGATTTAGCAGGTGTTCTCTCTTCCTAAACTCCACCCAAAGCAATATCAAGAGCTGAGAACATTAAAATAATAGCCCCATCACCTTAAGAAATTAAAAGCGGCAAATAAACAACAAATAAGCAAGTTTTCCTCTGATGCATAAATACATTTTCTCACATGCCATAAAAATACAAATATTTGTCTGGCCTTAACCTGACACAGAGTTGGCCAGAGGAGTGTCTGCATTTTACCTGTTGCACCAAAAAATAAACACAGATTGTTTAAAGATTGACACATTTTTTATTGTAGAATAGGACTGAAGTCAGGAAGCTGCTTTATACTGAGTCTATTGATGACACAAATGGGCCTGGCGGGAGCTGGTCCATGGGGTCGCGAAGTCGGACTCGACTGTGCGACTGAACAACAAAAATTGATCTATCAAGATCAATATTGTCTACTTTGCCTGGCAGCAGCTGTCCAGGGTTTCAAGCTGAGATCTTTCTCATCACCTACAACCTGATTCAAGGAGAGGCCAAGGACTGAACCTGGGACCTTCTGTATGAAAAACAGATGCTCTGCTACTGAGCCATGATTCCCTCCACAGCTTTAGGAGTGGTTAGCAAGTAAAAAGGTAAAGGTAAAGGTTCCCTTGCTCAAAAGCCAGTCGAATCCGACTCTAGGGTTGCATTGCTCATCTCTGTTTCAAAGCCAAAGAGCCAGCGCTGTCGGAAGACGTTTCCGTGGTCATATGGCCGGCATGACTAAACACCAAGGCGCACGGAACGCTGTTACCTTCCCACTGAAGTGGTACCGGTACCTATTTATCTACTTGCAATTTCTTGCATTCGAACTGCTAGGTTGGCAGGAGCTGGAACTAGAAATGGGAGCTCATTCTGTCATGCGGCACACTCGGGTCTTGAACTGCTGAACTACCGACCTTCCACAGCCTGCAGTTCAGCGTCTTAACCACTTGAGCCTCCTGTTTGGGGCACTAATACCTGCCCGTTCCATGAATGTTTTGGATACTTATATCATGTGTTCAATTCAGTACTCCTGCAATTTTGCACTCCATTTTTACAATTGCTGTATAAAAATCAAAATTCCATTGATGCGATTCATTGCAGGTGTTGATGAAAAGCAATCCCATGTTCCTTCTTGGTAGAAAAAACACAAATCTTCAAAATCCAATAGCTGGGCAAAGGAGGAGAACAGAATGTAATGGACTTTGATAGAAAACCCCTTGCAGAGATATATCTTCTTTTCTACTGGTAAAAAGAGAGGAGGGGACTTCCTTGATTACCCATAAAACTTTTAGTGGGGATCATGGGACCTGCATGGACAAGAGTCAAGTGGGACTGGGAATTTAGTAAAAAGAACTGGGTGAGGGTAAGTGAAAAATTTGGCTTGATCCAACTAAAGGTTTACAGCCAAGTTTCTTCTGAAACATGTATGTTTCTGTACTGATTTGTGTATGTTTCTTTCTTTTTTTGAGCCCCCGAAGGGGATTTTTTATTATTATTTTTATCACTACAAAAAACTACAACAGAAGAAAAGGGAGGGAAAACTACATATATGAGATAAAGTAAAGAACCCACTACTAACTAAAAGCCCAAGAGAGGAGATCCTCCAACTAGATTCGATGCATCTAGTCTTCCCATCATTAATCCCTTTATAAACTGAGTCAAACATTTATAACACTTTTTCTTTAAAACTTAGATTTAACTGTCTAGAAACAGTACCCCCAATCACCCCATAACAAAAGTCTCAAAGGCACAATTCAGAGTCCTTCAGCCTTTACTTCTCCTTTCCAGATTTGAGTATGTTTCTGTACTGATTTTTTAAATCTTACATTCTAAATGCACAGCTCAGATCACCATCATCAGTAAGGTTGCCAATTCCTTGAAAAATAAGGTTCCTTTGCCTTTAAGAAGCACACTACCTCTAGAAATTGTATTGATTCAGTAACTACAGAGCCATAATTTAAAAAACCTGCAGCTGTTGAAACTCCACAAAAAAATGTACATGTAAAGGCTGTTTTGTTTTGGGGTTTTTTTGCAACGTTGCATAGCACTGTAACATCAAATGATAAACTGGTAACATAAATCCTGTAATGTCTTGTAATAGTTTCATTACTTATTCATAGGATAACTGCACCATAGCATGACAAGAAAAAAGCACACATGCAGTATGATCTTCATCACTGAACAGTGCAATATGCTACAATATTTATTAATGTATTGGTTGATAAGATTTAGCAGGTGTTCTCTCTTCCTAAACTCCACCCAAAGCAATATCAAGAGCTGAGAACATTAAAATAATAGCCCCATCACCTTAAGAAATTAAAAGCGGCAAATAAACAACAAATAAGCAAGTTTTCCTCTGATGCATAAACATTTTAGTGGTTTGTACTGTACTGATTTGTGTATGTTTCTGTACTGATTTTTAAATCTTATATTCTAAATGCACAGCTCAGATCACCATCATCAGTAAGGTTGCCAATTCCTTGACAAATAAGGCTCCTTTGCCTTTAAGAAGCACACTACCACTAGAAAATATACTGAGTCAGTAACTACAGAGCCATAATGTAAAAAACCTGCAGCTGTTGAAACTCCACCCCTTATTGCAAGTTTCAGTAATCTTAAACATCCTCTAGAAAATACTGTTACTCCTACTACTTACATGACCTTATCCTCTTTCCTAGCTGGAGGCTCCTGAAAATCAATCAAAAGAGAGTTTTGATGCATCAGAGATAGGACCCCACCAATGATATTATCCCCTGTCCTATACAGATGGTTTGGTAGGGTTTCTCCATAATTACATTTGCCTTTCAAGTTTGTCCAGCACACAAGAGAAGGAAGCAGGATCAGCAAGAGTAGCAGGAGCAACCATCTGAGTGCATAGACATGCCTACCCAGGCCACAGCTGCACAGCTGCATTCTGCTACCATGTCTGCTGCAGCAGGCACCGTAGTACAATTTAAGGCATCCCTCCCCACAAGACACCGCACAGAAGGTGGATTTGTGGACTTAGAAACCTTGCTCAAAAGCTTTTGTCTATCTGGTGAACAGAGGGTGGGGGTTGCCCTACTCTGCAATGGAGCAGAATCCCAGCTCCAAATGTCACATGGTGACTTCTTCATCCAAGAAAGTTCAGAATTTACCTCCCAGTGCTTTAAATCTGGCCTATTGCAATGACACAACAAGGCAGGACATTGATAACAGTGATTCTGGTAATTACAGAGCAGACTAACACCATCCCTAATGGCATAGGTTGTCTGTGCAAATGGGAAAATTTATTTGTAAGATTTCTGTCAATCTAGTGTCTACTTCAGTGAGGAGGCGGTGACATCAAGTAAGTATGACATGAATGTAAGATGATGGCTATTGACCAGATGTCATATTGGTCCTTAGCTTCTGAGGGACAAAAACTGCTGTGGAACTTGTGGGGGATATTAGGGGTGTGCACCTTGGGGGAAAATTGTATTTTTCAGATTTGGATATCAAAGAGCTGAAAAATATTGGTATTTCTAGTTGTCTGGGTTAAAGATACCAGCTTGGTATTCGGATCTGGGGGTTTCTTCAGGTGGAGCTGATTCCAATATTCCATTTTTACCTGTGGAGAAACATTCTGTGGGGGCTGGAGGGGCTGTTTTCGAGTAAGTTGTATCAAAATTGCAGCAGAGCTGCTGGTGCCTGTTCTTTAACTCCAAAGTTTCAAGTGAATTTGACGTCTATGGGCAGCACCTGAACAAGCTGCCACCAGCCATCCTCCATTGTTTTCTATGGGGGGATTCTATGCTTTCACCAGGACAAATAATAGCCAAAGTTTGATCCATTGTTTCCTATATTGTATACAGATTGAGTCAGTTCTGCTAATTACTGGGATGAGATCATGAGTCCTCAACTAGTACACATCTCAATAGCAAGAGAATGATAGCCTAAAACTCAGCCTTGATTTGATGACTTGTGTGGATTTGGATTTTTATCAATTCCCCCCCCCCCCAAGGACAGAAGAAAGAGTCAGACAACCAAGGTTGGATGAAACTAAGGCCACTTTATTTAACATATTGAAAGTGACGGCAAGGGCAAACATAAACAGCAGCACGGTCAAGGCCTGGTGTCACTTTGACCCCATCCTTACCATATAACAGGTAAACCCAGATGAGCCCATCGATGGGGATACGCCTTGCAGATCCCTCCAACACCACCACACGGCCAGTGCAGAGGGTCCGTCGTGGCCATCCCCAAAGGCAGTCTGCAAGTCTCAACTCTGGCCACACGGCCGCAGGGTTGATCCCGCAGACCCCTATACCCCCCACGAGGTTATGGATTGGTGCTTATGTAGCCACCTGAACTTTATCTAAAACTAATTCTGCCCTGATAAAGGGACAATCTGACTCATGGCCCCATCCCAAGCCAATTCCTCAATCCACTGGCCGCAGGGTTGATCCCGCAGACCCCTATACCTCCCACGAGGTTATGGATTGGTGCTTATGTAGCCACATGAACTTTATCTAGAACTAATTCTGCCCTGATAAAGGGACAATCTGACTCATGGCCCCATCCCAAGCCAATTCCTCAATCCACTGGCCGCAGTGCAGGGTAGGCAAAAAAGACTGCCACCATCTCCGCTCCCCCTTTTGGAGTCCAGGCTGCACCGCAGCCCTTCCTCCTTCCTCCTCTCGAGGAAGCAAAGGTGGTCTTCAGGAGGCATGCTGTTGGCTGCCTCCTGAGGGCCGGAGTCCAGAAAACAGGTAGCAAACCACTTAGGGAAATTTGTCAAGATATTTGTGAGCGAGTGGTAAATGGGAGTCTTCAGGTTTTAAAGCCTGGATGGTCTTTCCCCTTGCCCCACTGGTGGACCTCCTGATGCCACTGGTATTTCTGGCCACTGTGTGATACAGAGTGTGGGGCTGGATGGGCCTTTGGCCTGATCCAACATTGTTGTCTTTTATGTTCTTGTTCTCTTATGCTCCCAGAATGAATGTCATGCTCAATGAAGCATGAGGGACACATTTGGCCTAGGACATTGTCCTAGATCTCATTATGGCTGGAAGCTTGAGACTAGAATGTGTTACTCAAACTGAACCTAAGAGTATCAGCTCTCTTACAAAGGGATTTCAAAGGGAGATTAGAAAGAGAGATAGCTGAATTGCAACTGATAATGAAGCTCAAGACAATGCATCTTCCTGGATGGAATTGAGACCTAGGTTTCCTGTCTCATTACCAATTCTGATTTCTCCACGCCAACCCATCTGTATATCACACTTAATCCAATCAAGCCTGCTACCATCATTTACCTGCTATTGTCCTTCAGCATCTAAAATCACTCCACACTTCGGCGGGAGGGCGGGATAAAAATCTAATAAATAAATAAAATAAAGATATAGGGACAGATGGACTCACATTCTATTTGAAGATGTGAGCAGTGACTCACAAATGCTCATACCCTGCCACAATTTTTGTTAGTCTTTAACTGGACTCTTGCTCTTTTCTAATCCTCCTTCATTGGTATCTCGCTACAAATCCCACAGAGACTCAGAGATTCACAGAAGACTTGCAGAGGGATTTATTAATGTGTTCATTCCCCTGAAGGTTAACCATTCAGTAACTAGACCAAGGGTTTTTGTTTGTTTGTTTTTAAAAATGATGTAATCTCTCTACATGATGTCGGGGAAAGAGGAATAAGAACTATATAACAAGCCAGTGAATTCCATTTCAGAAGCTGGGATTTAAGCTTCTACCTGTTCAAAAAGTCACTTGAAGGTCGTAACTCCACGGACAGTGAGCCATCTCTGCTAGAAACAAATTTGCCTTGAGGTTAGTAATGGTGACGTCAACAGCTGCCAAATGTATCTCATCTTTTCTAGAACTAGATATAATGTGGCTTAAAAATTGAGTGGAATGAGAGGAGAGTTAAACATCTATAGAGGCTTACGTCATTGGCAGGATCACAAGAAATAACACTAGCACCCACTAATTGTGTGTTCCTAGGGTCATATTTTGTCCGGTTGTTTTATGTTTGGTAAATCAATAATTTAAATAAAAATCTCGACAATGAAATCAAACAGTAGTAAGATGAAGCCTGTTTCTCCATCCTTTGTGGCCACAGCCTCCATCAAAGGAATGAAGAGCAGTATGCCAATGTTGGGCATGGCTTGGCCATAGACAACTCATGCCAATGGGGAAAAGGTGAGCAGCTCCATTAAAAGTTGTACCACCTCTCACATACAAGCCTTGTCATCTGGCTTTTTCTTGCTCTTCCACCCTTGTAAAGACAGCATGAGTTTAGCCGATCACTCAAGAGCCAAGCAGAAATTTGGGGGATTAAAAGTCAAATTGGCATGGGTGATGGAAATTTTGTGTGATCTGCTTCATTTTACCACAATTGGGGAACATGAGTTCTAAGTTCAACTGATTACTTCTGACTGGGAAGGCCCATAGGAGTTATCAGAAAATATTGTACGTTGAATGATATATAGGTAGAGTTAATTGGCAAGAATCCCAAGGTATATAAGAATACCTAATTCATCTGCTTCTCAGGTGTTATGGCTGGAGGCTTTGGCAAGTGGACCCCTTTGGTGTTGGGGAGCATCAGTTGGACTGCTGGAGTGGATTGGTCTCGCCCCTACGGTGCTTAATAATTTAAATTATCAAGAAGCGCTAAATTTGATGAGATTGAGGGTGACAAACATTGACCGACTCAGCACTTCAATTCGTGCTAGGCGAGTATGCTCCAACTCTGCCTTAGGGATTGTTCCACCTAAGAAAACTCCCTCATATATGAGCTTCCTTACATCCCCCAGATCTAGATATGTCTTCACGCTTGCAAGGTTGAATGTTTTTCCAACTGTAGAGCTAAGTGGCCGTTTTGCTAAAATACAGTACTCAAATAGATTGTGTAATTGTGGATCAGGTGCAATAGAGACCTTAGATCATCTTATGTTATTTTGCCACCAATGGATTGACCCCAGATCCTGCTGGATTACTCCTATTTTACAAAGATATCACCTCCCTATGGAACCCTGGGTGATAACCATACTATTAGCTGATGAGGACCCTGAAACGACTCGCTTGGTGGCAAAATATCTTTCAATAGTGCTATTTTTAAAGCGGCTTTGAAATGTTATGAGTACCTTTTGTATACAATTTTAAAATTTTAAAACTAATTTCCATAATATCATGGGATTTTATAGAATTCATTGAAGTTTATAAAATGTGGTCTGATGTTACTGATTGAGAGCATGTTTACTAGCTTTTATTGTAAAGGCGTTCTGTCTAAATTTCTTGTAATTTTATGTAATGCATTTTATATTTGTGGTTTGCATGTTTGGCTTAAGACCTCGGGTCAATGAAGCTAATAAATGAAATGGAAATGGGACTGCTGTTAGGAATGGAGAAAGGGTAATGAAGCTTAGCACCTCTTGGCAAAGGATAATGTGTAGCCGAGGAAAAGCAAGGCATTGTAGAAATGTGGGATAGACTTTGAAGCCAGGGTAGACTTGCCCAAAATACAGCCAGCCAGCAAAGGCATCCCAATAACTGCAGTAGATATTTAGAGGCATTTTTTTTAAAAAATACTATATTAATTGAAACAGAGTGTATCTCAGAGCCCTGACCTGGATATCCCAGGCTAGACAATCTCCTCAGATCTCAGAAGCTAAACACAGTCAGCACTGGCTAGTATCTAGATGGGAGACTTCCAAGGAATAACAGGGTAGCAACGTGGAGGCAGGCAATGGCAAACTACCTCTGAACATCTCTTGCCTTGAAAACTCTACTGGATTGCCATAGGTCAGCTGTGACTTGATGGCACTTTCCACCACCAGCTGGTGGTTCAAGTCTTCGTGTGTTGACTTAATAGTCCATAACACAAGAAAAAGAACTAAAAAATCATTGAAAGCTCTTGAAAAAATACCAGATTTGCCCCTCTTTCTAAAGGTCTGCAGAAATGGGCTTTGATCCTATCACACATTAGATAAACTGGAAGAGGGTAATGCCTTCTCTCAGCAGACTGTTCTTCAAAAAATTACTGGGTTGGAACTCGTGGAAGAACTTGTAGTTCTGCTTGTTGAAGCACTAAAACTGCCTGTGTTGAATGAAAGTGATTAGACCCCCATGATTGTTTGAATCAGTGCTCCCTCTAAGCTGAGTTAGTGTGAGCTAGCTCACAGTTTTTTAGCCTCCGGCTCACACATTTTCATCTTAGCTCCGTAAGGATGGCTCCAGAGCAAACTAATTTATGCAGTGGCCAAATTGCTTACTTATAACGTTAATGCCAGTAGCTCACAAAGTAGAATTTTTGCTCACAAGTCTCCACAGTTTAGAGGGAGCATTGATTTGAATGTATGCAAGATATTTTCTTATGAAACTGTCTCAAAACCAAATTAAATACCATCATGTAAACCATCTGTTGTACATTCTTTTGCTTCATATGCCCACTGTTATTTCATTTTTTAAAAAGTATACTAAACCATTCTGTGTTGTTGCAGTTATGGCAGTACCGCTTGTGCCCATGGAAATTTTAAAAAATATTTTTATGTTTCTCCCATGCATCTCTGGATTTCACCCACTGGGTTGTATCCTACCACTTCCATCAGTTGAGCATAAGGCTCTTTCCACTGAAGGAACATTAACTACTTAGCTCAGTAAAATGACAGGATAAATCCAATGGCTACCTTCCCCAAGCATGGAAATCATAGTGGGCTGCAAATACAAATCCATGTAAATCAGTTATTTTTTCAAGAGGATAACAATCATTTGCAGACAATACCAAAGATACAAGGACTTAAGAAATAAGGAAGCTGATAAACAGTAGATTCAGGACAGACAAATGGAAATATTTCTTTACACAGCAAGTGATTAAAATATGGAATTCGCTGCCAGAAGATGTAGTGAAAGACAGATTAATGAAGGATAGGTCTATCAGTGGCTACTAGCAATAGTGTCTAAAAGGAACCTCTGAATCCCAGTGCCAGGAGGCAGCATCAGGCAATGGCCTCGGCCTCTATGCCCTATTAATGTACCTCCAGAGGAACTACTGCGTGAGACAAGAAGCTGGAATAGATGGAATGATCCAGCAGGGCTCTTCTTATGTTCTTATGACATGTATAGTGTTCCTCTTTTGCTGAATAGGGACATGTAGGCTGCCATCTACAGGTTGGAAAATTCCTGGAAATTTGGGGATGGAGCCTAGGGATGCCAGGGTTTGGGGAGGGATCTCAGTGGGGTTTAATGCCATACCATCGCCCCTCCAAAGCAGCCATTTTCTGCTGGGAAACTAATGTTTATGTTCTGGGTTCTAATTCTGGAAGATCTCTGTGCCCCACCTGGGTGTTGGCAACTTTAACCACTTCTTGTTTTATCGGAACACAGTTGCATTGCCATCTTTTTTTAAAAAAAATATTAATAACATGTTAACACAGATATTAAAAACTAAGAAATAAATATAAAGTAATAAAAGGGAAATAAAAATTTCAACTGATATCATCATCAGGGAACCACAGCAATTTCCCTACATTAATTTTTTAAAAAAATATTTATTAATAAAGTGTTAACAAAAATGTTTAAAAATAAGAAATAAATATAAAGCAATTAAAGGGGAAGAAAATTTTCAACTGATATCATCAACATCAGGGAACCACAACAGTTTTCTTATATTTCCTTGTTAAAACAATATCCACTTCCTGTAAAGCAAAATATCATAATCCATTTTATGTTGAAGAACTGGGAACCATGTTAACTCAAAATTTTTGTATGATCTAGCTGTTTCCATATGATAGGTGCCTTCGAATTATGGTGCTGGAGAAGACTCTTGAGAGTTCCTTGGACTGCAAGGAGATCAAATCAGTCAATCCTAAAAGAAGTCAACCCTGACTGTTCCCTGGAAGGCTAGATACTGAAGTTGAAGCTCAGATACTTTGGCCACCAAATGAGAAAGGAGCACTCACTGGAGAAGACCCTGATGCTGGGAAAGACTGAAGGTAAAGGAAGAAGGGGATGGCAAAGGATGAGATAGTTAGACAGTATTATCGAGGCAATGAACATGAAATGAAGCAAACTCTGGAGCACAAGGGAAGACAGGAGGGCCTGGTGTGAGGTGGTCCACAGGGTCAGGAAGAGTCGGACTCGACTGTGCAACTAAACAACAACAAAAAATATGATTTATCAAGTTAGAAAGTTTACACATAATAAATTGGTCCCAGACTTTCTCATACCAGAGGGCTATAGAGGGAGGTTTGTGTTCTTTCCAGTTTGATGCAATTGTAAGACATGCTTAGGCCAATAAGATGGAAATTAGTTCTTGTTGGGAGCGTTATGAGTTTGGTTCCTACCATAAGTCCAAAAGCATCATTTGCAGTGTTCTGGATATTTCTTGAGTGACAACTTTGCTTATAACCACTGCAACTTCTTGGCAGAAGGCCTGGATGTGGACACAGTCCCACTAGAAAAGTTTCATTGACATCTTGATCAAAAAAAACAGCTCCATGAAGGGAGAGATCATACAAAGGAATAGGAATACACAGTGTGTCTTTTAAAGCAGGCATGCAACAAGTTGCTCATCCCAAGAGGCAGGTTTTATCCAGAAGTCTTTATAGGATACCAGCTGACTGGCTCTGGTGTATTAAGAGATTTCATTTTCTTTACAACTGTGGCAAGACCCATAGCCAGGATTTATTAAATCGGGGGGCCTTTAAATAATTCAAGGGACACTGAACTTAAATTAAAAAGGGTTTGAATCAGGGCCTTCCAAAGAGTTGACTTCCAGCCCCAACTGAGTCCTGGTGCACTGCGGGGGGTGGGTTTTGAAGCTCCCTTGTGCCCAGCTCCCCCCTTCCCTTGCCCCCGCTTCTCAGACCCGGGCCCGAAGTATGAGTTGTCATCCTGGAGCTCTGGGATGAAAGAGCACACCTGCCTGGTCAGTGTATGGACACTCCACCATCTGCGGCCCTGCTCCCCACTCCAGAAAGAGGGTCTGCAGCCCCCACCGTGCCCACTCACCATCCCGTCCTGACAGTTGGCGCATGGGCTCAACATGGGAGGGACTGGCTGGGTCCAGAGATGGCAAGGCAGCTGATGGGAGCAGCCCGGCTGGGGGTGGAGTGGAGCATTATGGGGTGAGGTGAGGGGAGGGAGGAGGGCCACTTACCAGCCAGTGAGCGCATCTCGTCCAGGCCCCACCTGGTTGCCTGCCTGCCTGCCTGTTCAGTGTAGTAAGTTGGAGGGCCCTGGTGGAAAGTTGGGGGGCAGGCCCCAAAATGATCCAATGTAGCTACGGGCCTGATTGTGGCCATTTTTCTGCCATCCCCACTTTCAGCTAGAGCTGAGCTTGATTAATTAAATCCCTGAATTATAATCCCAAATCCATACTTTAGGCCTTGCTCTGGCCTTGTTTCCTGGTAATTGTCTACTTTTTTTGCCTCTTCTGCTCTGTTTTGGTGTTTTATATCTCTGGTTCTTTGACTCTGTGTATGGCTTGCCTTGCAGATGGAACATACCAACCCCTGGAACAAGGAAACAGATCAGAATGTAACTCATGTATCAGTATTTATTTTCCTGGGATTTTCGGCAAAGCCATTGGGACAACTGCTATTTTTCCTTCTCTTCTTGACTATCTACACCCTGACCCTGTTGGGAAATGGCCTCATTATCTTCCTCACATTAATCAGCCCAGCCCTACAGACACCCATGTATTTCTTCCTTCGGAATCTCTCTTTTGTGGAGATTTGCTATAGCTCAATCACCCTACCTCGATTACTGATTAGTTATGTCACTGGGAACAACAAGATCTCTTTCATTGGTTGTGCAGTCCAGATGTATTTTTTCCTGATTCTGGGCAGTGCAGAGTGTTACATCCTAGGTGCTATGGCATATGATCGATACGTGGCCGTGTTTCACCCTCTGAGGTACATGACCATCATGGACAAACATTCCTGTACCCTGCTGGTTGTTGGGTCTTGGTTGAGTGGCATTCCAGCTTCTTTTGTCCAAACCACCTGGGCTTTTATCTCCCCATTTTGTGGTCCTAATGAAATTGATCACTTCTTCTGTGATATCCCCCCTGTCCTGAGGCTGGTTTGTGCGGACACTTCCCAGAATGAAATTGCTATGTTCACGTTTGCTGTGATCGTTGTCATTGCCCCCTTCATGCTAATCCTCATTTCTTATTCTCACATCATAGCTGCTGTGGTGAAGATGAGCTCATCTGAGAACAGGAAAAAGGCTGTCTCTACATGTTCCTCACACCTTCTCGTGGTTACTTTGTTCTATGGTTCTGGCATGGTAGTGTATACGTGTCCACAATCCAGTGGAAATTCAGGGACTGACAAGGTTGTTTCCCTCTTCTATACCATAGTCACTCCCATGCTGAATCCTGTCATATATACTCTCAGGAACCAGGAGGTGAAAGATGCCCTGTGGAAGACTATGGCTAGTTATTAGTTCTCTGTAGTGGCATGAAATTCTCAACTGGCTGAAACAGAATGTACTCTGCACACAGCATTCCTAGGCTGTATCCTCCTGTATTGGGGCAGAGGAACATCCCACCTGGAGTCCATCAGTTCTTGAGATCATGAGCCCAGTCACTGCTGGACCCAAGGGCCTTTCCTGGGTAGCCTGCCACACCTACCTCTCCACCTAACTAGGTTTGGGGTATTCTTCCTGTGCAAGAAGGCTTTTTCTGAACACAGAACATTTTCCATAGAGGGCGGCTCATGACTAAGGAGGGTTCTACACTTAGCAGAGCTGAGTGGTAGAACTCATCCTACTGACTTCTTTGTCTTTCCCTTTTTCCTGGGCACTTGGATCCAGGCAGCTTTTTTTCACTCAGTCTTGCCCAGTGGCTGGTTATGATTATGCATTGTTGCATTTATTTTATTTTATTTTATTACAATGCCTTTCCCCCCTTTTGGCTAAGCATTGAAATAGGAGAGATAGATTTACTGGTCTGTAGGGAAATCAGATTAAAATTTTTCTGTGGTAGGAATGTGAAGCTACCACCCAGGCCTCTTTTTTATTGTTTAGCACACTGGCACTCCCACTTGCTGTTCTGCATTTACAGGAACTTCACTGAACTGGTCCAGCTGGGATTGGACAACTTTCCTAAGTCCTCGTATTCAGTGTCAGTGGCTCACTCTGTATTTTAATCAAGATATCCAGACACCATCCAACATATACTTCAGCAGAGATGGACATAATTCCATTTAGTCGTTGAACACTTGGTACAGGACACATCATCTCAAATATGAGCATTTCTCTCTTGCATCTCATCTAATGAAAGCTTATTTTCCTTCTCTTTCTAAAGTCCAATACATTCAACAAGCATGGCTGCCCCTAAGAACCAAAGTTTCGATCCTTGGGTGAGTTCTCATGACATGGATAGGAATGCCCAGTATCAATAAGAGAACTGGAAAAACTTAGCAGCTTTATCCTATCATAATGTTTGAAGCTTTCCTTCAGCCTGAGGAAGCTTCCTTTAACAAGGGGCCTTTCCAGTGGTATAAGAACCACCAGCTGGAAGAAACTTCCTTAAGTTGAAGAAAGAGTTCAAACTTTGCTGAATAGATTGGCAGGATACTTGCCACTCTAAGGTCCCGATCCCATGCAGAATTAGCCATGTGATAGGCATGAATGCTGGGCGGATTTTAAGGGTGCAATCACACAGGAACATCTGGCAAGTGTCCCGCACTCATCGGCAACCTGTTTCGCTCCGCCGAAGAAGCGGAGTTAAAAAATACCAAAGAGAGTGCAGTATGAAATGGATTTGCGATGGGCCACAGATAAACTGCCCCGTGTGATCGCTCCAATGCGCTCCCATTGTGTCAGTGATCCTTCATTGAAGCGCACTGGAAACACACGGCGAAGAAAAAACCCAATTCACTCGCTGCTGCATCTGATCATGTAGCAGCGGGTCAAACTACGGAGCAAATAGCCTCACTTCCTCCTCGCATTATCTGGCACGTGTGACCGCACTCTAAGTTTCTTTTTGTATCAGTTGCCATCATACATTTCTTAGGCCCCAGTCACACAGAGCATTAGGCATGCTAGAGAGACGAAAGATAGGCGGATTTTCGGGGTGCGATCTCACCGCCACATCTGGGAAGCATAGAGCTCCCGTGGCACACCTGAGGCTTCCCACCGAAGATGCGGGGTAAAAACCGCGGGGCAAGGGCGGGTGTCTGATCGCAGGGCAAGGGCGGGTGTCTGATCGCATTTCCGCTGGTAGTTCCGGTGCCCACCCATGTCCCCTCGCAAAAAGGTGTTTTTTCCCCAAGTCTCCACGGATGCACACAAGCACCCAACAGAGCATGTGCACATTTCAGTTTAAAAAAACACACAACCCCGTTTGCCGTGCTGCTCTGCTTCTTTGCCGCGTCTGTGATCGGCACCTCCCCCCTAACCATGGGAGCTTGACGGGACCTCAACCCAACACCTGATTGCGCAGTCGCACATTAGTTTGCTCCGGGGCAAACAGCCATGCCTCCCACCTGCATTTTCCTGCCCGTGTGGCCGAGGCCTTAGTTAAGCTATTTGCACGTATGTAGTTTTCAAGTTTGTTGCTTCAATCTGTATACCCCCTTTTAGTTTTTTTCTTCTCAATTGTGAGAAATGACCCTATTTTTGTACTATTTTCCCCTTTCCTCTTACCAAATTTTCCTCATAAAAATGCAAGCTGTTTTCAATATTATCTTTACATCAACTGCATACAAATTGTGCACAAACAACATAGGAATACTGTGGACATACAAACAGCATAGAAATGCTATGAAAGAAAGAAAAGAAAGAAAAGAATAATTAATACAAGAAGAAAACATGAGGTACACCAAAACAATTGACAACCTTTGGAATAGCCCCTCAGCCCACCCCTACCCACAAGCCATTGTGAAGTTTTCAACTGCAGACTAGTTCCCACAGAGACTGATCAAGCACAACCCTCAGAACTTGATGTTTGAAAGTTTTTCACCAGCTTTTAAAGAAGGAAAAGATCTTGAGGGGGGCTTTGCATTAGTATGACATGAAGACAAAGTATTTTTTGAAAATCCATTTCTGTTTTCAATTTGGACTTTGTCTTCAAGTTGTTGTTGTTCAGTCGCACAGTCGAGTCCGACTCTTCACGACCCCATGGACCAGATCATGCCAGGCCCTCCTGTCTTCAGCCGTCCTCTGAAGTTTGCCCAATTTCATGTTCGTTGCATCTATGACACAGTCTATCCATCTCATCCTTTGCCGTCCCCGTCTTCTTTGACCTTCAATCTTTCCCAGCATCAGGGTCTTCTCCAGTGAGTGCTCCCTTCTCATTTGGTGGCCAAAGTATTTGAGCTTCAGTTTCATTATCTGGCCTTCCAGGGAACAGTCAGGGTTGATTTATTTTAGGATTGACTGATATGATCTTCTTGTAGTCCAAGGGACTCTCAAGAGTCTTCTCCAGCAGCATAGTTCAAAAGAATCTATTTTTCTGCGCTCGGTTATTTTTAGAGTTCTCCAAAAGGGAAAGATCCCCATAAACTCTGGCAGGAGGATCTCACTAGATTACCCACCTCTCGCAAGTTCTGTCTCTTTGTTAATTCCCCCAACAACCCCCCCCCAAAAAAATGAAACAGGAGACAGACCTCACTGGAAAACAAATATCATTTGGGGTAACAGGCTGGTTGCCAGCCTTCATCACATAAGTACAGAAGACAGCACAGTCAGTTAATTGGTCCCCTACAGTATAACCTTAAGCCACAGGGATTTATATATTTACTAGGGGTTTGCAGAGGGATTTATTAATTTCAGTTCCCTAAAAATTAAAGATTGAGCAATTTGGCACAGAAAGAACAGAGCGATGCTTTGGTGTTGCGCTAGTTTGGTGTAGTGGTTGAGAATGGTGTATTCTAATCTGGAGAACTGAGTTTGATTCACCACTTCTCCACATACAGCCAGCTGGGCAACCTTAGGTCAGTCACAGTTCTCTCAGAGCTGTTCTCTTAAGAGCAGTTCTCTCAGAGCCCTCTCAGCCTCAACTACCTCACAGGGTGTCTGTTGTGGGGAGGGAAGGAGATTATAAGCCACTCTGTGTCAGCAAGCTGCCATGATTGATCTGTTGTATATATGCTTCACCTGTCTGTGCCTCTTAACCCTGCATTATTATCTGTATTACTTCATATGTTGATAGATGTTACCCAGCAACCCCAGCGCATGCTCAAAGGCGAGCAGCTTGTTAGCGAAATGCATAACATGTCAAGGGCAGGTGGTCAGATAAGGAAGAATGTTTTGGGAACTGCTTTGGTTAGGAGCCTGGGAAAATATATATTTTGAGCAAACTAGGCCGTTATGATTCTCAGCACTTTGGCGCTATTTACCCCGAGCGGGAAAACGTCCCATTGGTGTAAACCCTGTTTGAATCTCTTTCACGTTACCTGCTTGTACCCCTGTACACCATTCTAAACAGAAATCTTGTAAGTGAAACATCTTTTAATAAAGTCATCCTCTGGACTGAGAAGTGGCTCGTTGATCGATAGTATCATCACACTCTGGGACTCTGAGTAAAGGGTGGGGTATAAATCCAACTCTTATTCTTTCCCACCATCCCCAAATAGCAAATGAAGGAGGGGAAGGAATCATATACCAATCTACTGGAAGTTTCCAAAACTGCTTCTCACTTGCTGGGAACAAAAACCCTCTGAAACTATCCTGTGAGGTAAGTTATGCTGAGAATGGGTAACTGGCCCAAGGTCACACAGTGAGCTTCCACAGCAGAGTGAGGATTCAAAGGTGGGTTGTCTAGATCCTAGTCTGAAATTCTAACCTGCATCACACTGACCTTTGTGGGGTGGCTGTTCTTTAACAGCAACAAGCAGTAGGCTTGGGTGAGTCATACAAGTCCAGTGATAGCAAGTTGTCCTGTAGTTGCTGCCGTGCTTGGCTCTGCTGAGTCCTGGGGAAGCTGCCCAGTTGAAGGGAGAGTTCAACTGTCTGTGCATATCTCTGTGTGTGCATATGAATATAAAGTTAAGTCACAATGATCATTGATCTGTTTAATCAGGACATGTTGATAAATGCAATCCAAACACCCCCAGCCCCCCCCAAGAAAAAAGGGAATGCAAATATTTATTCTGTGTAGGGAGAGCAGACACAGGATGCATTTATTATCACATAGAAGTTAGGAGGAATCATTTTAGGGGTCATAGTTCCTCTCGCTACTTTATTATACCAAGGGAAACTAAAACAAAAGAACATAATCCCAGCACAGTCACAATTCTGGGAACAGGTTATGAAGTAATAGTCTGTAATGGGTTTAAAAAATGAGAGATCTAACAGAATATTTAAAGTATTTTTGCAAAGCGAGTGTAAAAACAGCATAACAACGATGGAATACCAACATAGCTAACCCAAATTCAGATATTTAGGAAAAAATCATTCCATAATCCTTTAATTCAGTACAGCCCTTTGATGATCAATAA